TGTCTTTCCAGTTTACATCAGCTTTAGCCTGACAGGATTCTATGTAGTGAGTATAGATACATAAAGATAATCCAGGGGCTGGCGTTGTGGCTCAGCGATAGTGCGCTCACCTAGCAGGCGCGAGGCCCTGGGTTCGATCCTCAGCACCACATAAAAACAAATAAAGGTATTTGTCCAACTACAACTAAAAAATAAAATTTAGAAAAAAATTTTTTAAAAAAGAGAGGTAATCCAGGAGCCAGTTTGTACAACCTCTTTTTGGTACTTGGTTTGATTCTTGAAGTCTTAGACTGCCTTTTAGGGATACCTTTTTAGAGCTTGGGCATTATAATCACAAAAATCATCTGTTAAACCTCTTTTTGTTGTCAGAAGATTAGTATCAGACAATTATAAATGTAATTATAACCATTAAGTTATCATCTCCATAGCCAGATTATTAATAATTTGTATTTGTGAAAACTGGTAGCCTGTTTTATTTTCATAGAAAGCACTGCTACTTATATTTTAGACTGCTATTATGTTAGTGAACCATATATATATTTAATAAATAACATTCAGTATGATTCTAATTTTATTAAATATGAATACGATGTGTGTAGAAACATCAGGCAAAAAAAAAGGACAAGTAATGTAAAAAAAGTTAATTGAGTTTTTTCTAGGTGGTGAGACCTTACATTAAACTTTAAAAAAAATATTTTCCTTTTAGGGGGGCCATCAATATGTAGTCAGGAAAGAAAATGTATGACCCTTCCACATAGATACACACACATGAATTATAATTTAAAAAAAAAAAAAGAAAATACTCTTGTTTTCTCTGTTGTGGATGCTGATCCATACTGGGGGTTGGGGAGAGTATGGGAGGAATGGAGGAACTGAGGATAGGGCAAAGGGGAGGGAGGGGAAGGGAGGGGGCATAGGGGAAGGAAAGATGGTGGAATGAGATGGACATCATTACCCTAGGTACATGTATGAAGACATGAATGGTGTGACTCTACTTTGTGTACAACCAGAGATGTGAAAAATTGTGCTCTATATGTATACTATGAATTTAAATGCATTCTGCTGTCATGTACAACAAATTAGAATAAATAAATTTATTTTCTTTCTTTCTTTTTTTTTAGTTGTAGATGGACAGCATGCCTTTATTTGTTTAGCTTTTTATGCAGTGCTAAGGATAGAACCCAGTGCCTCACACATGATAGGCAAGTGCTCTGCAACTGAGCTACAGCCCTAGACCATAAATAAATATTTTTTAAAAAGAAAATATTTTTAAAAGGGAGGGAGGGTATTTGAGTGAGACCCTGGGTTCATTTTCCAGAACTCCAAAAAAAAAAAAAAAAGAAAGAAAGAAAAAATATACTCAAACTACTACTTTCTAATAAGTCCTTAGTGAAGCACCCAAATATTTGCAGAGCAAGGAGAGTCTATCCTTCAATTGTAGAAGGAAAAACCTCTTAGATACAGTTGTCAGAAAAATGGAGAGTTATCCCTATAAGCTTATAATCCGCTTATGGCATTGCAAAGGCTTTTGAGGTAATACTTCGTGATTATGGAAGTCTCCTAAAGGTAGGAAATTGGAGGAGACAGCCCATCAGTCTAAGAGTTGGACTGCAGGTTCTTCTAGAACCCCGTATTGTTTTGCTTACTGGCAACCTTTCTTCATTCACAGTGAAATCAGCTGTCTTGCACTCCACCAGAAGAGTATGAGTTTTTACAACTTAGCCACCTTCTTTACATTAGTGATAACAGAGCACTGTTTTTCACCAGTAAAATATCAGTATTCGAGCAACACAGATAACTTAGTGAATATCATCCCTCATATTTGTTTGGTGTTCACAAAATATGCTCATATACCTTAACTTATGTCATTCTCAAATACTTGATATTAAAGACATTCCCATTTTTAAAATGGGAAAACTTGAGTAATACCACGAGTTAGCTGGAGTTGGTATTAGAATGAATTCATTCCAATATTTGCAGTCTTGTGTACCTTTATGGGGCAAGCATTTTCCAGAGACTGAGGTAGAGAATTGAGTAAGATGAAGTCTCCACAGTTGTGTACCTGAGCCTCCCTTCTTCATAGCTGTCCTCTGTCTGGGCTTAACTGCGTTGGGCAAGCTGTATGCTCCAGAGCTTCACCAACACTAACAGTGTCTTCTGCTGTCCTGAGATTCAGCCTGAGGTGGACTGAGCAGCACCTCAAGCAGCATCTATGCGAACATGACTATCTGTTTCTGACTAGAGAGAGGTCTAGTCAGATACAGATAGTATCATCTTTCATCCCAGGCTTCTGCTTTTGTATGAGCTCAAAGGCCTTGGAAGTAGACCTTGGACAGTATTAGAAAATTAGGTAACCAAACCACTGCCCCCATCACACACACCATTTGGGGCATGTGTTTCCAGGAAACTAGAGGTTAGTTGCACTGAAAGTACAAGTGCCCTCAGAGACCTTTGGGTAGTCAGGAAAGGGCTCATCCTTTTCTTTCCTATAAGCTCAATAAGCAGCCCATCTTGAATTTTCCAAACCACTTCTAGAGAACTGTCACCAGGACTGGTGTTATATGTGAAAAGGGAAGACTGGGATATGGCTATGTCCAGTGTAACTGGTAGCTGATGTTTCCCAGTAATCCAGCAGCTCCTGTTTCAGTTAGAGGGACTCTTTCCAGTAACTGCCTTTTCCAACTAGATTAAGGTGAGTTGAGACCATGATAAACATTCTCTCCAGCACAACTTGCCGTCAAATACGAGTCTTTATGAGGAAGGAAATAAATCTTAGATGTACTGAAGTTTTATATTTTTTTCACTGTCACTGTTAGCCCAGCTGTTTTTTGTTTGTTTGTTTGTTTGTTTTGATACCGGGGATTTTGAACTCAGGGGCACTTAGTCACTGAGCCACTTCCTCAGCCCTGTTTTGTATTTTATTTAGAAACAGGGTCTCACTGAGTTGATTAGCTCCATTGCTGAGGCTGGGTTTGAACTCGAGATTCTCCTGACTCAGCCTTCTGAGCTGCTGGGATTAGAGATGTGCACCACCCCACCTGGCCCTGCTCTATTTTTTGACTACTAATTTGCTGATATAAAGGTGGGCTAACCAAGACTATGTGAAACTGCCCAAGACTATGTGCATGCCAGGTGAGCGCGTTACCACTTGAGCCACATCCCAAGGTGTTAGTTGGTGTATTATTTTATGTGTTTCTTTAAGGGCCAGAGGAGAAAGGAAGGAAAACTGGTGTATATGTACATAGTAAAAGAGAGATGAAGGTAGACTTCATTCATTCATTCTGTAACAGATTTTAATTGAGTACCTCCTCTATTTGGGGCCTTGTTCTTGTTGCTGTGGACATAACAGTGAACACGACAGGAAATGGGGGAGGAGAAAAACTTCCTTAGGGGAGAGAGAAGGGGAACAGCTATAAAATTGCAAAGTGACTTGATGAGGTGGGGGAAGAATTTAAGTCCTTGTTCATCTTACATTTGAACCCAAATCTGGATAACAAAAAGTTGCTTTCTTTGTAAAAAGATCTGGGAGAAAAGTATGCCAGGCAGAAGAACCAGCCAATGACCTTCAGCAATGAAGAAACTTGATGTGTGCACAGAAACTGGAAAGAAAGCCTGGGCCTTGGTCTTGAGGACAAGGAGGGAGCAGTGGTTCCAAACATGCTGGAGGGAGGGCTGGGACCACAGGAGGCCTGTGCTCCCTGGGAAGGAGTTGGACTGGGTTCTGAGCTCACTGGGAACCTTTGCCTCCAAAGAATTTTTTTTTGGCAATAAGGACAGTAGATTGAGGGGAGCAAGAGCAGAAAGAAGGATGTCACTGAAGTGGCTCAAGCTACCAGATGCCAGTGACTTGGACCTAGTGGTGATGACAAGAAGTTAAGCCCTGTTGTGAACAGAAATTACACGTACTATATACTGCTTTGATACAGTCTTTAATTTGAAAGGCTGTATCCTTATATTTGAAGTTAAATAAAGTTAGCAGTTTTTAAAAAACATTTTATTTAGTTGTGGTTGGACACAATACCTTTATTTTATTTATTTATTTTTGTGGTGCTGAGGATTGAACCCAGGACCCTGCACGTGTGCTAGGTGAGCAATCTGCTGCTGAGCCACATCCCCAGTCCCAAAAGTTAGCATTTTTAACTAGCATATAATTCTGTGATTTCTTTTAATTACTGATGCTTTAGACAATTAAATACTGACTCTAACTCATCTAATTTCTTTTTGGTTTACTTCTGGGTAACTATTCCTCCTAAATCTATAATATGTATCAGGGTGTTCACAAAAGGTTGTTTATAAGAACACTTATTATTTATTGCAAACGCATTACTGCAGAAAATACAACAAATATTAAAAAGAAAAACCTGTGATCCCACCAGCCAGATATACATTTTGTTTGTTCCCTTTCAGTCTTTTTTAATGCATCAATATATATATATATATATATATATATATTTCCAACTGGTTATTTTTTTAAAAATTAATTTTGCAAGCAGTAGTTTTTATAAAAAGTCAATAGTTGGCTTAATTTACTTCTTCTGCTGCTACTGTCATTAGTTGAAGCCATCTTCCCATTAGGCATTTCTTATGTAACTAATGGGCTTCGGTGGCATGGTCTGTGTCTTCAGTCATGTTTGTAGTCCTGTCCTTAAGATGCTCATCAAGGTAAAGTCATAGATTAGTGCAAGAGTTCTTTTTCCTTTTTTGTTTTGTTCTCAGAGCTGTAACTTAATAAACTTTGCCAGGATCCACAATTATAATCTTCAGGTAGTCTAAATCAAATATTAATTCATTAGTTAACTCAGATTGCTTCTACAAGTTATAGTGATTTTATTAGCTTATAACAATATCCTCTAAATATTGGGAAAAGCTTCTAGAACTTTTGGAACTTTTTAGACCTTAGCTAAAAAAATATATCCAGGAAAATAGAAATTCCTTTTGTAATATATATGTCCCAAATGCAGTCTAAAATGTAATGGTAATTCTTGGTGATTTTTTTTCAGACCTCAAAGGAAGATCTTCTACAGGCTGATTTTGAAGGTGCTTTAAAGTTCTTCAGAGTTCAGCTTCCAAAGAGATACAGGGCAGAGGAAAATGCGAGAAGACTGATGGAGCAGGCTTGCAATATTAAAGTAAGACGTGAAGTTTTATATGATAAAGGTATACTTTGAATGCAAAATAACATAACAAATGATGTAAATATCATCTTCTCTATACTGCAGGGTTTTGACTATTTTTAAGGTTGTGTGTGAGCTAATTTTTCAAGACTTTTTATCCAGCCAGTATATATGTGGTTGCTGTACCTTCTAATGGTACTTAAAGTGAAAGTTGTCTGGTTCAGTTTGTAACAATAGGAAGACAAACATTTATCTTATAGGTGGGGCTCCAGAGAGTGCTGCTGTGATAGTGGTTTCCATGGCAGCAGACTTCATATTTTGCTTTTGCCATCTGTTTTAAGATTATTTAGGACAAAGCAAGAAAAGCCTGTTTTAGACGATGCTTTCAGTTCTCTAAGGAACTTAGAAAGTTTAAGTCTTGATCTGCCCATTTCTATCTGGCGCCTGCCAAATGCCTACACATACATTGGTCCTGTCGTATGTCTGATAAAACTAAACAAATCTTCTAAGGAGTTCAAAATTGAAAACTCTATCTACAAAGTTGTGATATTAGGGCTGGGGATAGAGCTCAGTTGGCAGAGTGCTTGCTGCACCTGCACAAGGCCCTGGGTTCAATCCCCAGCACAAAAGAAAAGAAAAGGGGAAAGGGGAAAGGAAGTTGTGATATTAAAGTGAGAATGCACACTTTTAAAAGATTTGGAGCCAGTTTACCAACATTGATTCTTATACCTCTGAAATATACTAAGGGACCTTCTTACCTAAAATAAATTTGTTTGCATTCTCATTTTAATATCACAACTTTGTAGATAGAGTTTTCAATTTTGAACTCCTTAGAAGATTTGTTTAGTTTTATCAAACATACAACAGGGACCAATGTATGTGTAGGCATTTGGCAGGCGCCAGATAGAAATGGGCAGATCAAGATTTAAACTTTCTAAGTTCCTTAGAGAACTGAAAGCTTTGCCTAAATCAGGCTTTTCTTGCTTTGTCCTATATAATCTTAAACAAATGGACAGACATGTCTTATGGAACTTACATTCTTGCTTGAAAAAAATGGACACCAAATAATTAACATAATAAATGAATTTAATACTTTTGAAGTGATAAATAGTTGTGAAAAGGGGAAAGATCAGGGTTGGATTGGTGGAGTGGGGAAGGTTGTGGCTGTTCTTGGTTCGTCAGTGTTGTCCTCACTGAGAAGTTGAATGAGACAGGAGATAGGGGTTACTGATAGAGCTGCCCTGGGGAAGAATATTCTAGGCAGACACAGCTTGCCAGTACAAAGACCCTGAGGCTGGCTCAGGCCTGGTGGGTTTGAGAAATAGGAAGAAGGTCAGTGTATCTGTAGTGAAATAGATGAAATCAGAGAAGTAGAATAGGAAGTCAGTGTGCTCACCAGGGGACAGAAATTGTGATTATTATAAGGACTTAGACTTTATTTTGAAATGGGGAGCCCTTGCAGAGTTTGAATGGAAGAATGATAGGCTCTGTCTGAGGTTCTCAGAGAAGCACAATGCATATTTTGTTAAGAACAGGCAGGAAAAGTAGGGAGATCAGACAGGAGGTTTTGCAGTAATCCCATTGATAGATGATGACAGATTGAATCAGAGTGATCACCCTGGAGATAGAGATGGAATGGAAATGAAGATGGTTGGCAACAGGGTGTATCTTGAAAGAAACCAACAAGATTTTATGGTGTGTTAAATGTGGATATGATAATAAAAGAACAATCAAGGCAATTCCATAATTTTTAACTGAGCAACTAAACAAAAGAGTTGCCATCAATTTATTAAACTCATCACGGAAACTGTAGTTACATGAGCTTAATAAATAATTGAGAGAGACTTCTCTTAATTACCATAACCACTATAACACTTTCATGGTGTAATGCCTTTGTTTTGAGTTTTAACCTATTTTAAAGTACATTGTAAATGTTAAAACACACATACACACACACACACACACACACAGTTAAATGCTTTGAAAGTTAACAACTGAGCAGGGAAAAAATGTTATTTTGTCTTTTCTAATGAAACCTATATTCAAAAAGATCATTTTCCAAGTGTATCAAAAAAGACCTCTGAAGATACAAACTCCTTAAAGCCTTCAAGTGTGATGATTGATTTGGCTGGGCCACATATCTAAGCCTAAACCACATCTGTGTGTAGATTTTGGAAGTATATTCCAGTGGCCATGGTTTCTTTGATTGAATTTTGTAGGAGGTAAGTTTGAAAGTGAGCTTCAGCCACTGATTGCTTCAGAGATGCCAGGAGAAGTACTGTGAATTGGGGTGATGCTGTAGAAATCTATTGAAGTAAAACATAATTTCTAAGAATAAAAGAGTGAGAACTAAGATGTACAGGTAAGGTGAAAAGTTAAGTGTTTTCTAGGAAATCAAATACTATTGGCAAATGATTAAGAACAAAAACTCAGGCAACCAATCCAAAAATATGAAATGTATAAGGAAAGATTTTTTTCTCAATATAATTTATGAAATTTCTCAGAGAAGGTAGCTAATAGTTGACAATCCAGAAATATGAGATCTAAGAGATACAGAAACACAAAACATTAGAAAATAAGTCAAAATATGAACCCAGTAGACCATTGCAGGAAAGGAAGTATCTTGCAACCAGCATGATTTATTTGGACATCACTAGATATATGTGAGTATTTTTAAAAAGGTTTAAATAAGATTTTAATAATTAAAAATCTTAAATAATTTAATAATTGTACAATGTATGAATAATGTTTTGTTGGGTTTGGGTTTTGTTTTTGTTTTTATTTTTCTATATTATCTAAGGTGAGTGTCTATTTCTTAGCTATTTCTATTTCTTAACATCCCGTAGGTACCATTTTAATTCACAACATGATTGTAGAGTGGATGATTGTGAGGCTGATGTGACATGAAACTGTAGAAAGGCACATATTCAGGGATTGGAACATTGGCCTCCACACTAAGGTTCAAACAGTTTTTTAAACCAAGACCTACATTTTGAAACTGCTTTTCATTCCAGACCTGAGCCATAGATAGGTGCACGTATACATTCATACATCCCCGGAGAGATTTACCCCTACATTGTTTGAGGCACTCTGATGCGTTGTGTTTTACTGTATTGTGTTGTATTTTATTTCAAACTTCTCTCCTCATCCCAAGAAAGTCCCCAAACCAAAAAGCTAATCACAACCCACTGTACTGAATTTATAGTAGCTTATTGTTTTTTTAAAAAAACTAATATGTATCCTATATTCCACTGTTCCTACCACCTCCCCTCTCCCTATTCTGATCTACTGCAACTAATGAATCTGTGAACAGTGAGGGGTTCCAATGAATGGGGAAGGATGAGAGTCATCTCACCATCATCATAGTGGTGTGCAGTTGGAAAGTTTAGGAGATGGCAGACTTTCAGGTAGAGGCTAAGTGTTAGATAAAGCATTCTTGGACCGAGTTCTAGACCAGCCTGGGCAACTTAGCAAGACCCTGTCTTAAAATAAAAAATAAAAAGGGTGGGGGTATAGCTCAGTGGTAGAGCACCCCTGGGTTTAGTTCCCAGTACCAAAAAGTGGCGGGGGGACATTGAAATAAACAAAGATGGCAGAGGCTCTGAGTAGGGGGAATGAGGAGGGCCCTAATGGCAAAATGCTACACCTAACCTGGAATCTTCCTCTCTCACACCAAAATTGCCTTCCTCCTCCATTCCAGAAAGGTAGCTGCCAATGACACACTGTTGCTATGGTAACTACTAGCCTCAGAAAATTCTAAGCTGTGCTCCAGCTCAGTTACCTGTACACAGTGCTGAACAATTTCCCACTCTCCCAGAGTGGATGTGTACAGTTCCATCTTACCCTTCACAGTTGATGGTTTTAATGGGATAGTGCTGAATCCCTTTTCAACACTTTCCTTTTTTTTCCCTTCAAGACCTCCTTCCATACTTGTAACCATGGATTTGAATTATTTGAAAATAACTTTCACTCTAGAGAAAAACTGCAAAGAACTTTGATATTTAAAGCAGTTTGCTTCTCCTTTCTTCATGCTGCTTGCTGCTTATCACTGGCCATTGTTTGGTCTGTGAACAAGGACGCTGTCTCCCAAATGGATGCTTTATTTGAATTAGCAGTGAAGCCACACAGAAGCTGCTGTTGACTCCATGCATCTAAAATGTGAACCCTCATGTGCATCACTGAAAAAGTTTATTTTGATGAAAATGCACTTAGTGTTCCTTTCCCATAAAGACCTCTGTACATTGATAGCCACACTTCAGGTATTTAGACGTCATTAAGTCTAACTTCTCCAGTCTTAATCTGCTGCTGGAGAAATGTTAATTGTGCTGTAGGATTCAGTGATGTGATCATTAAGAAACTGATGATGAAGTAGTTTCTATATCAACACCTTTTCCCTTAGAGGCTTCTGTTAGTGTTCACGATCCTCAGAGTATATTAGATTTAAGAATTGTTTTTTCTCACTGAGCAAGGAACACATTAGTGTTGGATGTGCTCTGAAACAGCTGACCACAGGCGGAGAAGATTGGCTGCAGCTCCAGGTTCCCAGAACCTGGCACCCTCCACGATTAGGAAACAGCTTTTATACTGTACTGTTCCTAGCCAGCTGGAATGCACTGATCACCTTTCTTTGCTTCTTCTATTTTTTCTCTACCCTTATGCCTACTTCTTTCTGCCAGTCATTTTCTCAAGTCTTTAAAAAGAAAACGATATAGACATTTTTAAATTAACTTGATGGGTGAACTGTGTATTGTATCATAAACTGTTCTACATATGAGTCATTAGATTTTCCTTCCCTAAAGAAAAATAAGATAAATGGATGAAAAAAATGATTTTTATATGGGTTTATCTTTTATTAGAAAGTGGTAAATAGTAAAATAACATAACATAGGAATAAAGCTTTATGCCCTTATCTACATTCCAAAATTGGTGCTACATACTTTCCACACTTAATTAACACAAAAAGGAACACCAGAGTTGCTACCCCACTTAGTATTTTCTCTTTCTTCAAAAATTTT